CAAAAAAAAAAAAAAAAAAAAAAAAAAAAAAAAAAAAAAAAAAAAAAAAAAAAAAAAAAAACAACTACTGAAGCGGTACGCAAAGGGAGGTCATAGAAAAATTTTGTTTACGCTGGATTATGATTTATGGTCAGTTTTAGAGAGAACGGCTTGCTCTAAACGCCATGATAATTTGGAGTCCCTAAAACAATTCGTACGATTGGTAGTGAAAAATTTTCCAATGGAAAGAGTGCGTGCTTCTATTGATAACTGGCCTCAACGTTTAAAGGACTGTATTGCAGCCAATGGAGACCACTTCGAATAAGCTTTTATACTTTAAATTGTTTTATATTTATGTATTAAACTAACACACTGTAAAAGTAATAAATGTTATTTACCATAGAAAAATATTTTGTTTCCTTTGTCACAGTATGTATTTATGGCCAGACTAAGAAAATACCTATATGATAATGACGATTTCACCGGTACTTAGCTTGAGACGTGAAGTAGCCTAAATGTCTGCTATTTTTTACTCTACCTATTCTTTAGTAGCCTAAGAGGCTATTCCAGCTAGGTCCGGAATGGTAGGTGAGCTCAAGGGCTGTGCTTCTCAGTTTCTGCGAAGGATTGGAAGCGTGACCTACAGAAAAAATCCGGCGGTGTGGGTCAGCAGCTCTGCAATTACAACTGAGACTGTGTTCACGTCATTCATATCAGTGATGGCTTTCTTATTATTTTGTCCATAGGCTCCGGTGATCACTAAGCATCAGATGGGCCATGACTTCCTTCAACTATACGCTTGCTTACTTCCTGTCTACCTAGTCCTGCCAAAGTTCTGTTACAAATGCCAATGCATTTTTTTTAAATGAAATTCCTTTAATCTGTTTGGCCACAAAGGAGAAACCCGAAATTCGTACAAACTTGGGCCTGGCGTTACAGTGCTAGAATTTGGGCATAAATTACAATACCTTAGAAGGTTTCATGAGCCCAATTTTCAGGTCTCCCAGCAATAGCCAAATTGGTAAAATCAGGCAATGTTTACATTTTAGGCTATGTTTATTGTTTACGAAACCTGTTGCAGCAACAGGTTGCTTGAAAATAAAAATGGAACCTGTTACGAGAAATCGCGCATTAGGTTGTTTACGGAAACGAACAAAGCCAAAAGTTAAAAACAACGTAATGCGAAACGCGGTGCGCACGAAATGATTTTTTTAAAGGTTTTTTGACCTGGTAACTAAGACCTTTAGGTCAGTCTTATTTTAATTTTAATGAAAACTTTTTATACGAAAAATGATATTTATATGATAACTTTTTTATATACAATATAAATCATTACGTGCTCCCATATTATCTCATCTCATTTCACTTCATGCCTTTTTTTTATTACTTAGATGGGTGGACGAGCTCACAGCCCACCTGGTGTTAAGTGGTTACTGGAGCCCATAGACATCTGCAACGTAAATACGCCACCTACCTTGAGATATAAGTTCTAAAATCTCAGTATAGTTACAACGGCTGCCCAGCCCTTCAAACCGAAACGCATTACTGTTTCACGGCAGAAATAGGCAGGGCGGTGGTACCTACCCGCGCGGACTCACAAGAGGTCCTACCACCAGTAAAAATATATGGCCAGACTAGTTATATAATTATGTATTTATGGCATTAAGGAAATGTTTTTATCTATTTGTACGAACGTAGACAATATTAAGAGTTGCTTGATTGCGGGGTGAGGGCGGGGATTGAGGGGCGGCATTAATGTTGTGATCTCCCCGAAAATCTATTTACTCCAAGTGATTGTAAGCTTATCGGCCGATTTAGGCTAATAAATCATATGATAAATTATTGCTACACTGATTAATAGGTATAATCGAAATAAAAAAAAACAAAATTGATAACATTTCAGACGATTTATCTTAAAATCAGTTCAATTATCTAAAATCAGTGCGATAAAGAATTGCTAATTTATTGTCGTGTTTTTTAACGTCGTGATGTATTTAATTTAGTTAGTTCGAATCATGTACATGAAACGCTTGCTTATTTTTTGTACGGCATTCATTGCGTGTTCCGGTAAGTTATCAAACCCTTAAATGAGGTTTATTGTTTTTTTTTTTGTTGTCGATGAAGGTAGGCAAAATTTCTTATCGCGTATCCTAGTTTTAAGAGTAAGATGGAAAATCTATACTTAATGTTATTATAAAGCTGAAGAGTTTGTTTGTTTGAACGCGCTAATCTCAGGAACTACTGGTTCGATTTGAAAAATTATTTCAGTTTTAGATATTTTGATAATATCCTGAAAAGCACCCAACGCTTTTTTTACAATTTTTTTTTTTCTTACACTATTTTAAATTCAAATTTATTAAAGTTTATTATCTATTTTTTAGTTGGATTTTCTATTAAAGTGTTTTTTTTTAAAGTTTTTTTAAACTATTATTTATTTATTCCTGTATATGTAAGTATACTTCGGCAAAGACGCCAACAATTCAGGATCATTACCTCTTCTGTCAATCAATTATTATCTTTTTTGGAAAGTAGCACACGTTTTAAATAGCTTAAATTCATGAAAAAACAATTTGGAAACAAGTTTTTTACCAATATAAAAAAATAAAAAATAATACTAGCTCTGTATACTTGTACCATTCTCTGAATTAACCCATACCATTATAGGTATACGACAAAGGGAAGATCTTCCACCGAGCGGGTGATATTTGCTCGGTAGACCGACGCCCGGTCTAAATGTTTGTTGTTCAGAACTTGTATTATATGCAAGCTTAACTTGAAAATAAAATTCAGGCATCTGTCAAATATCTTGTGTTCTGTGATGGCTACCGCCACAACATTATTAGCACGCAACGCGGCACCATCCAGGCGAGTTCTCGTCAATCGTATGAGGGAACCGATGGTCGTGTCATTGGCGTCCGCCGGTCCGGCGTCTGGGGCACGGCGGGACGGATGTAATATGTTCTGCGTCAACCCTGTCCCGTCATCTCAGTGGCCCCCGAATGGGCTCCGGCCCAGTCCGGGCTCCCGAGCAAGAGTTTTAGTGAGGTTCAACTGCCACATACACGCCGCGAGAGTAATTTTCTGCTGTATAAAAAAAATTACCATTATCACTAAAAAGTAAACTAATTCTCCAGCTCTTCCGACTCCTGAGGAGACGGACTTATCCATCTTCTTCGAGCACGCCGATCCAAATGCCCGTATCGTTGGAGGGACCGAAGCTGCTCCAGGGAGCCACCCCCACATGGTTTTTCTGACCAGCGGACGAATCAGGAGTTTCATCTGTGGAGGATCGCTGGTGTCGACACGCACCGTACTCACAGCTGGACATTGTGTGGCCGGTGTATATGCGGGCGGAATTTTGCACGTGTAAGATTTTTTGTCCTATTTTATTCCGAGTGCGAAGTTCCGCTTAAAAGATTCGAGTAGAACCCAAAGACTCGAGTTAAGTTAGATTTTCTTCTGGGGCTACATGGCGTTGTCTAGTTAATATATTTCCAGAAAATAAAACTTTCAGAAAACGATTTCGAAATAAAAGGTGTAGTACAACTATTCCCATAACCGAAGCCCGACAATCGTTAGGTAGTGGCTTGGCTCTGCCCCAGGCATTTCTGAAGTCCGTGGGTGACGGTAACCACTCACCTTCGGGTGGGCCATATGCTTGTATGCCTATAAGGGCCATAAAAAAAGTTTGATACATATCTATAATCTGAATCTCGGAAACGGCTCCAACGATTTTCATAAAATTTAGTATACAGGGGATTTCGGGGGCGATAAATCGATTTAGCTACGATTTATTTTCAGAAAATGTTGTTTTATTCGTGTTCTTAATAATCAACTCTTCCCGACATCTATTGGCGAATAATAATGCTATTTTTCTTAATTGAGGGTAACTAACCGCTTTAAAGACACAACAAGTGGGGTTATAAAAAAAAATCCTCATCATCTAGTTGTTATTACAAGAAAATGTTGATTGTAAGAAAATTTTTGAATTCGTGTTTCAATAATTTTACAAAACCGAATATCGTCAACAGCAACCTCCGCGTCACCGTCGGTACGAACGAGTGGAACTCTGGCGGTACCGAATACACCGTGGCCAGGAATATAACACACCCTGACTTTAGCCTCATCTACTTGAAAAACGACATCGGTCTTCTCATAACAGACGAGGAAGTAAAATTATCGGATGTAGTCCGCCCCATCAAATTGAGCTATGATTTCGTGTCTAGTGGAGTTGCCGTTAGAGTTGCTGGATGGGGTAGAATTGGGGTAAGCCGCCATTATATTTATCACACGCGTTATTCCTCTTTCAGTAAACAAAGTTTTCTTAAACATATTTTAATTATACAGTCATCATTATCCTGCCTTTCTTCCAGTTACCTGGGGTCGGCGCAACATGTTTTCTCCTTCCATACTCTTCTATCATATACCATTCCTTCGCTCACTCCCCTCTTACCCATATCGTCTTTCACGCAATCCATCCATTTCTTCTTAGGTCAACCTCTTCCTCTATATCCTTCCACATTCATAGTTAACATTTTCTTAACAACCTCATTTTCATTTCGTCTCATCACATGTCCATACCATCCCAAACGCGCACTTCTCAGCTTCTCTGTCACAGGTGCCACTTTCAGACTTCCTCTAACATATTCATTCCGTATTCTATCCATTCTCGTTACTCCACACATCCATCGCAACATTGGTAGTTCTGCTGCATGCAATCGCCTTTCATCCGCCACTTTAGTGGTCCAACAAGCTACTGCTTTAATTATACAGTATGTCCTAACAAAGGGTACTTAAAGCCGAAACGTGGCTATAGTATGCACAGCTCATAACTAAGTCGGAGTGACTGGTAGCGCCAGCTGAGTCACTCAGAGGCCCGAGACTTTTGATGGCATTTGTATGGCGGAACTAAAAATATTATTGATATTATTTTACTCCCGTACATTAATTGTTCAGGACATGACGCGTCTGGTGTCAAGTCTTTATCGTACTAAAGCTCATGAATGTTATAACGTAGCCACTACCTACGTTAAGACATGACGTCGAAATCTCCATTGCAATCTTGTCTCATATCTTAACATTGAAATAAGATTCTATAACAAGATAGCAATCAAGTCATTTGGCATAGTTAGGTACGCTATCTAACCTGATCTGATTTAGATTTCCACGAACTGAATAAATAACAAATTAGATGAAACTTACACATGCGATCTTTCACCACACAGGTCAGTATGTTTGTGTTTTCGTGTGTATTTTAATCAGCTGACATCTCGTGCACCTTTTTGGGCTCGGATAAGTAGTTCGATTGGGCCAACACGACTATCGTGTTTGCTGTGTTTTCCTATAGCTTCCGACTACCGAAAGTAATTCAAAGCTGTTTGGATTTTTACAAAAATGGATGGTCATTCATGTGTTAAAGTTGGTTCACGACATAAACCTTTATGAAACAAAATCGATTCAAGTTATAACTTTTTTATTTATTTTTTTATTGCTTAAATGTGTAGACACAGCTCACGACCCACTTGGAATGAAGTGGTTACTGGAGCCCCTAAACATCTACAACATAAATATCGCCACCCACCTCGAGACATGAGTACTAAGGTCTCAGTTTTTACAGTAAAAGGGCTGTCCCAGCCTTTAAGTCGGAACGCATTACTGCTTCATCGGGTGGCATCTACCCGGGCGGATTCACAATACGTTCTACCACCAGTAAATTAACTTACGTGAACCTCGACCTAGTAGATACAGATTGTTGTTGTGAACAGGTTGATACGTTCTAAAAAGGACTTAACGAAAGCGATAACACAGGGACATTGCCTATTGGATAGAAAAAAAAAGAATTCAATGTGCGCTTTCAATTTGTATGACCAATATCCAAATATTTACTTCCGGTTCCAATTCCCTTCTTTTTCTATGTGGTCAGCCTCATTATTTACTGCGAATCATGTTATAGTATCTTGGTTAAAACGTAATTCATGGGTTGAAAAAAGTCTAATTTGTTCGTAATGTTCAAGTACTTTTTACTCCAGTTCAGGTCGGGGTAGATATGCGGCGGCGTCTACTGGTAGTAGGACCTGTTGTGAGTCCGCGCGGGTAGGTACCACCACCCTGCCTATTTCTGCCGTGAAGCAGTAATGCGTTTCGGTTTGAAGGGTGGGGCAGCCGTTGTAACTATACTGAGACCTTACAACTTACATCTCAAGGTGTGTGGCGCATTTACGTTGTAGATGTCTATGGGCTCCAGTAACCACTTAACACCAGGTGGGCTGTGAGCTCGTCCACCCATCTAAGCAATAAAAAAATTAAAAATAAGATATGCGGCGGCGTCTAATGGTAGCGCGCCACGAGGCCTTAACCCCTTCAGATACAAGGGGTTTTGACCTAAGATACAAGCAAATTACATTATAAATTAGAATAAAGGCTATTCCAATTTTCCTACCTACCCACATTGACCAATCGAGTTAGGGCAAGCTGAAATTTAAGCACTGAATAGACTTCAGTAGAGGATTCCCATGATCAGTTAGGATCAGAAAATCAACATTCTAGTACAATTAGGATATTAAGGACAATGGGGAAATAGTGAGTCAAGTTCCATAAAATCATATTCTAATATTTACTGGTAAACAATTCGACAGCCCATCGTTATTTTACACTATAGTCTGTTTTTTTTATTAAATAGGGCGTAAACCTATTTATTCCCTTAGTGAAAATTCTTCGTATATACTACGTAGTTTGGCGCCTAACTTTGAAGACAGTAAAAATAGTCAATGTACAAACAAATTATGTTTCGGATATGATCCGCGTTTCAAGTTCTGGTTGTTGATTCGAAGTTTAAAAGGGCAAATGAGTCGTCTATTATCAAAGGTGGCAATCTGTGCATTTGGACAAAAAAATGTTATTGATATCAATACAGATTGATTTGAATATAATCGTCTTCTTCAAAGAATACGGTTCAAAACCTGCATTAAATAAAGTTAATAGTTAACCTGTTATTTATCTAAAATGTCGTTCCGAAGAGTTTTGTGACTGCCAATGGAATACAAAGTCAATAATTCGTTTTTCTGATTTACCAATAATTGTCCAAAAGTCAGATTGCCGGCTTTGATAATAGTCGACTCAAATACGTACGTGAAAAAGCATTGATTTGTGCTCAATGCCAAATGTATATGAAAATTTCCAGTTTTGTGTTTTAATACTTCTTACTTATGTTTGCAAACATGCTTTTCCAGCATCGCGAGCCGCTCTCCGAAAAGCTTTTGGTGATCGACGTGAGAACAATTGACGGTGAAGCCTGTGTCAGGGCTGCGGCCCAGGCGGCCATAGACTTCAACACGTGGGCTCCCCACGTGGACCCAGCCATTGAACTATGCACCTTCCACGCTAAAGGAACTGGTGCTTGTGGTGTGAGTAAAATTGTATAAGAATTGACCGAATAAGAAAAAATACATGCTATTTTTACGTATAATTTAATTTAAGGTCGTCTTGGTCTAAGGGATAAGACGTCCGGTGCTTTCGTGTTGAGCGATGCACCGGTGTTCGAATCCCAGGCGGGTACCAATTTTTTTAATGAAATACGTATATACTAAACCTAACATGGATGGACGAGCTCACAGCGACAGATGGGTGGCGAGCTCACAGTCCACCTGGTGTTAAGTGGTTAAGTGGCCCATAGACATCTACAACGGAAATGCGCCACCCATCTTGAGATATAAGTTCTCAGGTCTCAGTATAGTTACAACGGCTGCCCCACCCTTCAAACCGAAACGCATTACTGCTTCACAGCAGAAACAGGCAGGGTGGTGGTACCTACCCGCGCGGACTCACAAGAGGTCCTACCACCAGTAATTACGCAAGTTATAATTTTGCGGGTTTGATTTTTATAACACGATGTTATTCCTTCACCGTGGAAGTCAATCGTGAACCTTTGTCGAGTGCGTATTTCATTAGAAAAATTTGTACCCGCCTGAGATTCAAACACCGATGCAGCGCTCAATACAAATGCACCGGACGTATTATCCTTTAGGCCACGACGACTTAAGGTAGCGGTAGAATGCGGCTTATTCGTGCCTCTACTGGTTGACGACCGTCAGCTGTATCTTCATTAGCCTTTAGATCAAAAGCGACTTAAAGAGCAAAACCTTAAAGAAATAAAAGCCTCAAAGAGCTTACCTACAATTCAATTTCATCATCATTAGCCAAACAGTCGTCCACTGCTGGACATAGGCCTCTCCCAATCCACGACACTGAGCCCGGTCTTCAGCTGTCCTCATCCTCTTCTGCCGGCTACCAAATTTAATTTATTAATCAGTAATTTTTTACCCAGGGTGACAGTGGTGGTGCATTGACTCGTATCGACAACGGTCTTCAAGTGGGCATGGTATCCTGGGGCTTTTCTTGTGCACGAGGTGCTCCGGATATGTTCGTCAGAATTAGCGCTTTCCGCTCCTGGTTAGAGGAGAATATAGTTTAAGACGTTTAAGTCTTCATGCTGAGAGTAGGTGCTAATAAGAACAGCAGTCTGTTTTATGCTTATCAATCCCACAAAAATATAGTTGTACAAATCTCTTTAACAAAAGTGTTTTGGTTGTATGTGATGCGGCATTGCTAAGGTCCATAGACGACAGTGACTACTCATCATCATCAGGAGGGACTTAACTATAAGCATCTGTCATCAAATGTAACCAAAAACGGAGTTAGTGTTTTATTGTATAAACTAGAAGTTAAGGTAATTCAACACTCTAAATCGTGTTTCCCAACATGGGGCCCATGAGCCACAACGGTGCAATTTAATAATTAAGAGGGGCAATCGCAATAAATTAATATAAAAAATGTATTAAAATTATTTTGAATTTGAATTTCAATGTTTTATTATATGTTTTGTAATATTACTTACTATGTTTTAATAACAATTTCATAGTGATTTCTTCCTAAAACCTAACATTTATGTTTCTTAAGTGAACAAAAAAAAAATTTAATGTTTAAAATTATGAATGGAGTGCACAAAAATTTTAGAAATGTTACAGCAGGGCATGGCACAAAAAAGGTTGGGAAACACTGCTCTAAATTCAACTAGAACACCAACAATGATCTTAACTTAAATATTTCAAAATAATTAACACATACTGACGAAGCTATGTCTCTGCTAAATTAAAAAAAAAAAAAACAAGAATCTAGCGGTAACAGTGGAAAAACAGTCAGCAACAAAATTTACTTTTAAATAATAAAATGGTAAATAAAATTATGAAGTACTTTTACGGTTTAATCTCGCATTTATTATTGTCTTTATATTGTTTTCAACGCTTCTAATACTTCACGAGTTTTCTTAGTCACGGAGATTAAACTGTGGGAGTAATTTTAATCATGTCTCCGACTCACAGAATCCGAATACAATAACCCTCTCTTATCACGGTACTTCTACGACACGTTAACGAGATTTTTGTTTAAAAGTACTCAAAGATTACACTATGCACTATGAACAAACAATCTAATATATAAAATTCTCCTGTCACAGTTTTCGTTGCCATACTCCTCCGAAACGGCTTGACCGATTTTGATGAAATTTTTTGTGCTTATCCGGTATCTATGAGAATCGGCCAACATCTATTTTTCATCCCCCTAAATGTTAGGGGTAGTCCACCCCTAAATTTTATTTTTTATTTTTTAGACAAATTTTTTAATTTCAATTTTTTTATGATACAACATACAAAAATACATACAATCCTCAATTTTCACCCTTCTACCATCAACCCTTATTTTTTATTTGCTAATTAAAAACTTTAAATTTTTTTGCGAGAATTTTGTTTTTATTTTGTCATGACGTAGAATAAAAAAAATCATATTACTCTGAAATTTTCACCCCTCTACGATCAACCCCTATTTTTTGTTAATTATAAACTTTAATTTTTTTGGCAAGTTTTTTATTTAGTTTTATCATGACTTAAAATAAAAAAAATCATATTACTCTCAATTTTCACTCTTATACGATCAACCCCTATTTTTCCATCCGCAATAAGGTTGCAAGATGGCAATCAAATATTATAATTGTAGTACGATAAATTCTTATTCAGAGTTTATAATTTCAAGTTCCTTTAATTATGATTTTTTTTAAATTGAATTTGATCTCCCGCCCTCGCCGGTCGACTACTGATCAACTATCAATCGATCAGCTATCCCCGCCAGGTGTCACCACTCATCCAGCAAACATCACGTAGTAGGGATGAGGACGAAGCCGGTCTCCTGTCTTACTTACTCACTATACATCATAGATTATACACTTAATATATTTGAGAGCTATACAATACTATACATTTTTCAGCCATGTTTTGTTGGTTTTATTTGTGTATCAATAGTATGTTCAGTAGGTCTGAGAATCGGCTACTATCTATTTTTCATACCCCTAAGTGAAAAGGGTTGTCCACCCCAAACATTTATTTTTTATTTTAATTTTTGGATATATTTTTTTGTTTATAATGAGGTATTATGTGGTTTTTATTTCTACAGTAGAATTTCCCTAGAAATCTTATTTAAGGCAACACAACGTTTGCCGGGTCAGCTAGTATACTATAAGAATAACCGAAATTTTACTGGCGGTAGGACCTCTTCTGAGTTCGCACGGGTAGGTACTACCATTATTTCTGCCGTGAAGCATTTCGGATTGCAGGTCAGGTCAGCCGTTGTAACTATACTGTGACCTTAGAACTTATATCTCAAGATGGATGGCAGCATTTACGTTGTGAATGTCTATGGGCTATTTTTATGTATAATAGGTAAAAAAAACATACAGACATAGCACATTATTAAGCTATTGCATAGTTTTTATCGCGGGCTTTGAGCGTGGCGACCGAATCAAGAAGTTCCGTAACGAAAATAAAACCTAACACCCCACTCCGCCTACCATGTAGCTCGCGTTCAACACATTCACGCGTTGCGTTTGTGTAGTGTTTGTGAATAAGCGCGCGGCGTGACGTCGCACTGCACGCGCATCATAAAAAGTCTGCCCATCTCTCTCTAGCGCGGTCTAGCTTATGTGTGTGAAGGGGACAGTTAATGTTTTGATTTTGTTAATTTTTATAAATTTTAATATAGCATGGTCATAATTATTATTGTTTTAATATTAAATTATTATTGTCTAATCATAATTGCATATGTTGATAAAAAATGCTATGTAATAGCTTTACCGCGGCAGTCCCCGAGTGCCACACGTGTTTTTCTTCTGTTTGTACTAGCTTCTAGTCTCATATAATAACACAGTTTCGCACAGCACGGGACTTTGCAGGAACGGATCTACAGTTATCGGAGGCTTAGGTGTATTAGAAGAAATTTTAAAAGTTACACTATAACTAAAACATCAGTAACATTTCAACAAAAACACTAACGACATCTAGAGTTTAATTTTAATAAATAAAGTTCTACGTACTCTTTACAAATTTCGTTTTCTTTTATGGACAGCTTAATCAACTATCAGAACTTGTCGCGGCGCCTGACTCGTTTAGCACAGCAAGCTAGCCAAAACATTTACTACTACCGGCACCGCGCGCTGACAGCATTTTTTTTTTTAAGAGATTTTATGACCTGGTAACTAAGACCTTTAAGTCATGTCTTATTTTACTTTATATTCTTAATTTTATGAAAAATGATAATATGGAGTGAAATGAAATGAAGATGATTAATTTGAGACATTAATCAACTGGGATGAAATTTAATGAAATGAAATGATATGGGATGAAATATAATCGCAGTAAAATGGTGGTCATTTACTGAGATTTTTTCAGTGGACTTTTTGGAGGAACCTGAGAAGTTACGTCCAGCAGCTTTGTTTCATTTTCCCACATTTGTGCACTTTCACAGATATTAAACAGTTAATAAACCACCATTATTACACATTTAAACCTGAAGAAACACTAAATAGACAAAATAAAACAAATCACACAACTTCACTCGATTAATTCCAGTGAAGTCGACAGGGAATCCAATCGCGCAAACTCCTTGAGACTTTGCCGTCTTCTTTGTAAGCTATAACATAAGCAGAATTGAGGGTTCGCTCTGTTTCCCCGTTACCTTCGTCCCTGGTTCCAGCTTGTTCAATTTTAATTCGGGAATTGACTGAGGAAGCCACGGAGATTATTCTTTAGCGGCCTGCTTACTAACATTATGACAATCCTCAACAGAATCACCGGCCAGGTCTACTAACCTACACTGGATCTAACATAGATAGACAAGAGGATGAATGTAGTACCTTTCGGGAAGACTCGAGTCATTTCAAAGAGCAAGCGAATCCAAGGAAGTAAAGTTTATTAAGGACACAATGAAAGAAGAAAAGAAGAGAGAAAAGAAGACTAGTGATGCAACGTGTCCTTGTACTCCAAGTCGGTGCAAATATCCGACACACGCGTATTAATTATTTGAATTACTAAATAATTAAACATTTTGATTAATAACTATCGCATTCAGGGGGTAATTTAAATCGAGAAATGTCTAGCTGGCCACAGAAAATTAATGCGATAAAAAGTTGAATTGAATCTTATGATTGTAAAGAAAAACCTTCATAGTCTAAACCTCTTTAGTTTTATAAAAAGGATTTTTCTTATATGTCATTCAGCGAAGTTTGACAATCAGTAAAAAGAAAGTTCAGTTTGTTAAATATAATAATTTTATTAAATTAAGGGCTTTAAATGTTGTTTTCTCATTATAAACATAACAGAAAAAGCAATTAAGTCTTTTATTGTTTATTTATTCTAGAGTACCCAATATCATTATAAAACAACATTTTTTGCAACTCCATGAATAAAATGGAAAAATTAAGGTTTGATTTTGCTGTGAAATCAACGGAAGATGGAAAATCAAATGTTATATGCATAACTTTAATTGCTACACCTGATGGACAGATTTTTGGGATACCAACCGAATATCAAAATGCCAACTTTCATGAAGAAATTACAAAAACTTCAAATTATGCAAATGGTACAATTGAAGATCTTGAGAGAGACAGGAAATTAGCTTTTGAGAATACAGTTAAATCTCACAATTATAACAAAAAAGCATTTGATATTAATAGAAAAGAATGTGAACTGAAAGTTGGAGACCAGGTTTATGTAGAAAAAGGAAATCGATTAAATAGGAAAAAAATGGATGAATTGAGAATTGGACCCTTTGAAATTCTAAAACAGATTTCAAATTAAATATATTTAGTTGATATCGGACACAAAAAAGTGGAATCGAACCTCTATCACATTACAAAATTATCTCCAGTATCAGTTCCTACATGAACAATTACACGTAATTGTTTCCCTAAGGGGGGAGATGTAAAGAAAAACCTTCATAGTCTAAACCTCTTTAGTTTTATAAAAAGGTTTTTTCTCATATGTCATTCAGTGAAGTTTGACATTCAGTAAAAAGAAAGTTTAATAATTTTATTAAATTAAGGGCTTTAAATGTTGTTTTCTCATTATAAACATAACAGAAAACGCAATTAAGTCTTTTATTGTTTATTTATTCTGGAGTACCCAATATCATTATATGATTAAAGCATCAAACAAATTCAGCGAAAATCCAAGATTACGTACTAAATAATTCATATCGCAATTACCCAAAATATGTCAAATAATAATCGATAATTACATGTGCATACACTAATATGATGGTACAAAGAGCCACGAAGGGCTGTCAGGGACACGACCTTATATATACCTATATATTAATAATTTAATAATAAATAATTTATACAAATTTAATAATGCATGATGTCAATGCTTCAGATGACATCAAAAAAGTGGCAAATGGACTTTGATGAAAGTTCACTTTTGCCGGTTTTCAAAATAATGACGTTGCAAATGCATTCGACAAAGTCTGGCACAATATCGGATATCGAGTCGAGGGAACCCGCTCCTAACCGCGACCGCTCACGGCTGGAGTCCCACAAAGATCCAATAGCCCTTGCACTGGACGCCTTCAGCTCTAACTCTAGGAGCAGGCAGGAGACCCCGGTAACCCTACTCGTAGAACTCGAAAAACAGGTCGACGTGCAATCTAATCCACACATCAGTCCGCTGAGTTTCTCGCCGGGTCTTCTCAGCTTGTCGCGATTCCGATCCGATAGTAGATTCATTCGCGAAGCAACTACTCTTGAGTTGTTAGGTCTCCTTCGGAGGCGCTAGGACAGCTGAAAGCAAATCCCAACTCTCCTGGCTGAGCCCTTGCTTGCCCGCCTGTCCTAATGAAACTGGAAAGGCCTCTGGGCCAACACATTCATAAAAAAAGGAAGACAATAGACCGGAGAAACTGAGCAAAAAAGCTAAACTTATTCAATCTATACGGACCATAATCATATTACATGTTCTCGCTCGAAGTAATTGGTAGCGATTTTAGATTTATAGCAATGTTTTTTTTTAAATAATCCCTACGATTGTAGATTTCATATCTCTTAGTTGCTAATTAGAAATGTACAGAGATAAGTGGATAATTTTACAGCTTGCGTAGTCCATTAATTAAAGTTGTCTACTTTTACTATTCGACTCGGCTTGGCTTAGATTCCTTCAAATTTCTGAAATGGCAAGGAAGGAAGGTTCACTTTTGCCGGTTTTCAAAATAATTGTACAAATTGATCGGACTACCTGGCCCAGGTCGTTTTATCGCGTTGCCTTATCGAAGTAACGTTCCAACGCTGACTTTATGTGTTTATGAATCGATTCGAGGCCCAGGTCCTCGTGTAAGTTCACATTCCTCATGAACCATGGAGTTCCAACGGCTAACCTGCAAAAATGTGGTTGTAGGGATTAAAATCCTTAGAAGGTATCTATGTATGTGCGAGGTACGTGAGCGAACACCACACTCGCGTAAGTCATGACGGGCCTTATGCAAGTTTTGTAAAGTATCATCTTGTTCCGAAGGGACATTTTACAAATCATGAGTAGAGTCTGCCTAGGGCTAGGGCTAGGGCTAAGACTAATCGGGCGATTATGGGCTATTGTCTGGTTTTCTTACTAATGTAGCTCGTCGACCTGAATAGGACCACCGCCTCCGACACTAGTTTCTCTATTCGCTCCTCAGCTAGTACCTTCAACTCTTGGACTGTGAGAGTTAGGAGATCTATTTCAACATCAGTGACCCAGCGGTAACTGCCGCCGGCGCCGCCTGATCCGACTTTGCCGTTTGGAAGATATACTAATACTACTACCACCAATATTATCAGAAATAAGGTGTCAAGTGGCTGACCGAGTATATAGCTTTTTATAATTATTACCAAGGTAGGTGAATGAGCTCTGCCCACCTGATGCCCACCTGATGCTAAGTGGTCACTGGAGCCCATAGACCAAAGAAGTCCCTAATATTGTCCACAAATGAGCCAAGAACGTTACATATGACAAACAAAATTAGATGTACTGTTTTTTTTTTAATAACTTCATTAAGTAGTCGATAAGAACGATTTATCTAAATACAATCGGATTAATAATCAAAGGTTTCGTATTATCGGCTTGATAAATGATTTGTCAAATTATAAATAACAGGTAATTCGAATGTTAATGAATAGTCTGATTCGGGCGACGGGAGAAATGAACGTAAAATACGGAATACTTTTTGTGGCGCTCTTTGCAGCTGCCTGGGGTAAGATTTCTGATTTTTTGCCAACACAACGAAGATGTTAGTTCACTAAGCCTTTTATTGCAGCGGATATCTTTTGGTTTGACTGAAGATGACGATGACTGTGGAAGCCCATAGACAACATTAACCATATTCCAACTCCTCACTGCTCAACCTTAAAGTATAGTAGGGATTGCGAACGCAATTGTAGTAGGAAATGCTGTTATTACTGATGAGTTAGGGAAATGTAATTCAGGAACTAGTAGACTAGTAGACTATAGTAGTCTAGCCAGATGAATAGCTGAACAGACTTTTATCAATTTTGTGCATTTTATATACTTGTAACGGGCAACTCTCGTCACTGGATATTGGTAATTTTAAGGTAATGATTTACCACAGTTGCCGTAAAAACTGGTAAACTTTTTTTATGAAAGAAATCATGAAATGGTTTCATCATTTTCCTGCCCTTCTGCCAATCACCCAGGGTCCTAAAATGTAATTAAAAGCTCATTCAGATTATATTTCGTATTATAGTTGTTTAAGTTGTAAAATGAATATAAAAAATAATAAAGGCGTGTATACACTGCAGATGTAATTTTAAATGTGTAGTCGACTCTCGTAATCAGAAAAATTATCAAGAAAAATTATAGATAATGTTTAATGATGAACACGTTTTTCTTAAATTCCAGCCCTCCCCAAGCCTGAAGATGACATGTCCATCTTCTATGAGCATGTGGACCGGAACGCACGTATTGTGGGGGGTAGCCAGGCAGCTCAGGGCAGCCACCCCCACATGGTAGCGATGACTAATGGTGTCTTCATTAGGAGCTTTGTCTGCGGAGGCTCAGTGCTCACCCCACGCACGGTGCTCACCGCTGCTCATTGCATTGCCGCTGTATTCATATTTGGAAGTCTCTCTGGGTAATCTTATAAATTTCCATTCGCCTTAACTAGTAGGTTAGCAAGCAATCTATTCCTCGTGGATATTGGAAATGGATATTGTATGGGCGTAAATGTTCGCGGCTCACCAGATTATAAGTAGCAATAGAAGGCCACATAAATTAATAAACAAATACCATCATCCACCTTTAGACAGGAGGTCTAAGTTTCATGTTCACCGGACCACACAATCCCAACGCACCCAACCTCGCATGTGGCACTTGTGAACCGTAAGGTTTCGGTACCCTAGTCCTGTCTATTTATGACACGATGTAATCTTATTTTCTGACTTAAAAAGGGTGGTATATCCGTTATTCTAATGCAGTTAGAAGTGAGGCTTCATCACTTAACGTGGCTGCTCGTATTCACTTGTCGTGTCCATTATTGGCTCAGAGGAACCTTAGTCTCGCCTGCCTTACTATAGCAAAATTATTCAAAATTTATTTTCAGAAATTATTTTATTAGGTGATTAGTATTATATTTTATTCGTGTTTTTTCTTCATTTGCGCAGAAATCTTCGTCTGACAGTCGGTACAAACCAATGGAACTCTGGTGGTACCCTCCACGCTGTCTCCAGAAACATAACCCACCCTAACTACGTGTCCAATACTATCAAGAACGACTTGGGTATTCTCATAACATCCTCGAACATCGTCTTCAACGACCGCGTCAGGCCTATCTCTTTGAGTTTTGACTACGTACCTGGAGGCGTCCCTGTCAGGGTTGCTGGATGGGGAAGAGTTAGGGTGAGTTTAATAGTATTTGAAGTGGTCGGTATAGAAGCTGAAAAGTATTCCTTAAATATAAAAACAAATATAAGTACACGATTCAATGACCCCAAGCTAGGATTTGCTCCTGTGCTAAATGTTTAGAAAATATCATCAATCGTATATTTTTAATAGAAATATTTGGATGACAAAGATTTTAACTAGCTCAGGGCATTAACAATTATTTCCAGAAATCAACAGGCTAACATTAAAGAAACAAAGATCTGCACCTTACTACTTATAAAGCTATCTCCAACAGGGCAAAATAAATGTAATTTCAATAAAGTCAAGACTTTTATCATCATCATCATCATCGGTTACTCTTGGCAGAGCAGTCGTGGTCATGTGGAATCCTTGTTTATTAAGGCCTAGACAGATGTTCTCCATAGTTGGCGAACTGAGGCTTGGCGCATGTACTCGTTAAGTGGATTTTGTTAAGATCTTTTACTTGATCAATCCAGGGCATGGGGCTTCGTCCACAAAATATTTAGATCTTTTTAGATCTCTCGATAGACTCTGCTGGCCGGCGCGATACGTGTCCAAAATATCGAAAAATCCTGGATTGCACTGTTGACGACAACCTTTCAGAGATAATAAGTTCTTTTAGGATCGAGGCGCGTTGGTGCGATGCTCAGTCCAAGATATATGGAGCATCCTTTTCCAGCACTACATTTCTAGTGATCTGGTCGTCTGTCGTCAGCATAACCAAGGTTGCATATGTTTTTGCCACCAATGGGCACACTATCAGTCTAGTCATTTAGAGCTATTCTCATAATGGCCTTGGTGTAACCTCGGTGCCACCTTGGTGGTGGTGCTCTTGTTAAACCAGAGAGGTGAGAAGATACATCCCTGCCGGACTCCAGCGCTGGGATACAGGCAACGTTATCCAGCTTGACTGAAGCTGTATTGTTAAAAAATAAAGCGTTCGTAGGACATTTATAAGATGTTTTAGCACTCCCATTTTTCGAGGGTTTTCCATAACTGTGGCCATTAAACATAGTCAAATGATTTTTGAAAGACAACAAAGCAGATGTATGTTGAACTCTCCCGCCTTTTGTATAATTTGTCGCACAATCAAGATCTGTTCTCTTGTTCCTTTCCCAATTAGAAAGCCAACTTGTTCTGGCGCTATTTGTGTTGATAAAAAGCTTTTTAAAAGTTCATTAAGGATATGTAGTAGAATTTTGCTGCAGTGCGATATCAGGCTAATAAGACGATAGTGGCTATATTTCCTTGTCGAACCTTTCTTATGCAAAAGGATAAAAAGGGAGTGCGCCCATTCAGTACGTCAAGTGCCAGATTTCCATATCTTGTTACAAACAGCATGGATGATTTCGACACCACTTTCGCCACATTTTTTAACGATTTCGATCGGGATTTTATCACCTCCTACTGCTTTTCCAGTTTTAAGGTGTTTGATAGCATAACGAGCTTCTTCTTGCAGTATGTCTAGGTCGTTCGTTTTTGGACATCTGGTGTCGTTCGGGGGTTTTCGCAGTCGGGGTCAAAGAAAAGAGCTTGGCAAATTTTTTTTCATCGGTCTAAAACCTCTTCTAACTCTGTCACTACACGATCCATCCGATCCATCCGATTTCTCAACAGCCCAGTTCTGCCACTTCAATTCAGGCTTTTATGGCAACTGGATCTTCTTTCCAGGCTAACGGTGCTCTCTCCACGAATCTTCTGGAGATCAATGTGAGAACCATTGATGGTCAGACTTGCGTGAGGACTGCGGCCCAGGCGGCCATTGACCTTAACATGAGGGCTCCTCCTGTCGAACCTCACATCGAGCTCTGCACATTCCACGCAGAAGGAACTGGTACTTGCAATGTAAGTATATAAACAACACTTCCTTGTCAATTCGCCTTCCCTGCAATTTTTTTTACAATATTCATAAAGATATATGAACGTACCCATGTAGCTACAATAATTTAAACAAGTGTCATTATATAGGTATATCATCTAGTAAAATATAGACATAATCATTTTCACAGCAAAATGGGTTTGTCTGTCTAGATTTCTATGGTTTGATTCAAATAGCAAATTTACTTACTTTGAATATAAATGAACCTGCTTTTATTTCATTATATTTATATTTAACATATTTAACCTATTATAATATATTATATTTAACCTATTAGATCTTTCTTCTGTTATTTATTTATTTACATTCGAGTTTGCACTTTGACAATTTAAAATCGTGAATCTAATCTATAATCTATAATATATTACTCCAGGGTGACAGTGGCAGCGCATTGGCTCGGACCGACAGCGGTCTCCAAGTCGGCATCGTGTCGTGGGGCTTCCCTTGCGCGCTGGGAGCTCCTGACATGTTCGTCAGAGTCAGCGCCTTCCGGTCCTGGCTGCAACAAAACATAGCTAATTAAACTATACTTAAATCAAGATTACCCTGAGCTTTTGTAAATAAACAAAAACCAACAAAGTTTAACGCCTTTTATTCTGTTTTATTTGGAACGAAGTTCCTTATGGGACGATGCGGAGGGGTACCCTAGCCGGGAAAAAACGTCCGTAACGTAAGATTTTTATTAGTAATCCACACAGTGTACGACTTAACTTTGTAATAACGTACAAAAATATATTTTTTTTTATTATATATTTTAATTTATATATTATATATATTTATATATTATATATTTTAATCATTGTGTCAAATCAATCATAAAATAAAGTTGATAACTATGTAAAGTAGTTTTTTTTTATATCAATAAAAAAATCATAATAAAAGATGTATACCCGATAATTATTTTCTTTATACCTCGAATAGAACTTAATTTTTTTTTTTATTAATAAAAATACTATCGTAATATTAAAATGTTAATTTTAAGAACTTTGTTGCTATCCGGTGTCCCACGACACCACACATCTTTTTTTAATCTATTTCTTTTTTTAATCTGGCTTGATGCAACGTCCCGTGGCTTGTTGAAGAAGAGTCCATCACCATTGACTCCAACGAGCTTTCAGATTTAATCCTACTTAAAAAATATCTGACACAAAAGCCCAATGCTTTTCGGCGATCTTTGTGTGTGGTCAGTATGTATGTGTGTATATGCATATGTGTTTCAATCAGCCGACATGTCATGCACCTTTTTAGGTTCTGAGAACCGGATCGATTAGGTTGGTAGGACTGTCGCATTTGCTGCGTTTTTGCGTGTGTCTGTGCTGCGTGATTGAGGTTATTTTTTTTAGAAATTTGACATACCGCTTTGGTTAAACTGTGTAACTAGTTTTTTTTATTATTTATTTTGTTATTCGTCTTCGGTCGCTGCAAGAAGTAGTCGTGGCCTAAAGGATAAGACGCCCGGTGCATCTGTATCTAGCGATGCAACGGTGTTCGAATCACGTAGGGCGGCTACCAATTTTTCTAATGAAATACGTACTAAGCAAATGTTTACGATTTACTTCCACGGTGAAGGAATAACATCGTGTAATAAAAATCAAACCCGCAAAATTATAATTTGCGTAATTACTGGTGGTAGGACCTCTTGTGAGTCCGCACGGGTAGGTACCACCGCCCCGCCTATTTCTGCCGTGAAGCAGTAATGCGTTTCGGTTTGAAGGGTGGGGCAGCCGTTGTAACTATACTGAGACCTTAGAACTNCGGTGAAGGAATAACATCGTGTAATAAAAATCAAACCCGCAAAATTATAATTTGCGTAATTACTGGTGGTAGGACCTCTTGTGAGTCCGCACGGGTAGGTACCACCGCCCCGCCTATTTCTGCCGTGAAGCAGTAATGCGTTTCGGTTTGAAGGGTGGGGCAGCCGTTGTAACTATACTGAGACCTTAGAACTTATATCTCAAGGTGCAAGGTGGGTGACGCATTTACGTTGTAGATGTCTATGGGCTCCAGTAACCACTTAATATCAGGTGGGCTGTGAGCTCATCCACCCATCTAAGCAATAAAAAAAAAAGGTCCTACCATCAGTAATTACGCAAATTATAATTTTGCGGGTTTGATTTTTATTACACGATGTTATTCCTTCACCGTGGAAGCCGATCGTGAACATTTGTTGAGTACGTATTTCATTAGAAAAATTGATACCCGCCTGAGATTCGAACACCGGTGCATCGCTCAACACGAATGCACCGGATGTCTTACCCGCTAGGCCACAACGACTTCAAAATACTTTAATAAACTTTAATAAACAAGTCAAGTAAGAGTTAAGAATATTAAAAGACACGAATATAAATTTGATTACTTTATTTACAACCCAATATATTTCCTGCTCGTGTTTTCTCCATCGATTATAACTTATTGCTTTACTGTACTTTTTGTCAAACATTGAAACCTTCAAACAGCGATCTTGAGTTGATTTCTTCGGTCAAACTTTCATTTAAAACATCTTCCAAGAAGTCGCGCACGCCAGCTACTCTCGTAAAGATATCTGGAGCTCCAATGGCGCAAGGCAGTCCCCAAGAGACAATACCCACTTGCTTTCCGTCCTTGACTGTCAAAAGAGCACTTCCAGAGTCACCCTGGGAAAAGTATATAATAAAGAAAAAAATGCTACACTAATTCCCCCTATAACGCGGTAGATTGGTTCCGCGTTATAGGAAACGCTTCGTATTCTCGAATAACCCGCTTGTAGGACCCCATATAACGCGTTATGTTTAAATATAATACTATTTATCGAATGTTTTTACAATGCAAAAACCAGGAACACTAATTTAACAAAACAATTTAATTTTATAACAACACAATAGACACTCTGCAAAGATCCACGAAATTAATTATGAACTGTACAAATCATTATAAATTTCACAGTAACGTGTGAAATCCCGGCATTTTATGGGGGAATACCCGAGTTATACGAGGGACTGAAATTGCGTAATATGAAAATGCGTTATAAGAGTACCGTGTTATAAGGAGGATTGCTCTTTAATTTCGCTTAAGTCCCTGATAATTTACAATAGAAGTGCTTCTTCTTCTTCTTCCAGTGCCTCTTCAATCCTGAAGATTGGCCGTTAGGTTCCTGTATTTATTTCTATCAGCAGCCAGCCGGAACTGCTGTTCGACGGAGCCAATACCGGTCCATAGAAATGCTAATAAATGCCAATAGCCAATTTGCATGAATCAAATCCTACTCACATTGCACATGCCATGACCAACGGAGTGGAACGTGCATATTTCAAGGTGAGGATCGACATCAGGAACCGGTCCCCACCACAACTCTGCTGCTGCTTCTTTCATATCCTTGCTGCACTGGTCAGTTGCTATCGTCTCTACGTATAGGAGTTGCAAATCATCCGGAGTAGGTGATATTTGCTACAAAATATAGTGAAAAACATTGAGAAATTTTAAGGACAGAGGGTGACTTTTTTTTCCTACCTAAGCTGATAGCCTTAAGAGGCTATTTCAGCGTAACCTTAACTAGTAGGTGAGCTCACAGGGCTCAAGCCGGAGTGATGTTAACACTGACCCTAGCAAGAGCAGTGCTTCGCAGAATCTACCACCGGGTCGGAAACGCGACCCACTGAGAAGATCCGGCGAGAAACTCAGTGGGCTGTGTCTATGCGTTAATTCGCTCGTCGAGCCCTTCGTCGCAAGCGACGGGTTCGACGAGGACGGTGACCGGTGCTTGTGGTACCTAAACGCACCGTTAATGGATCGGGAGGATCCGTAATGACGTGTTTTGGGTGACGTCGACTGTTTACCATTCGATCTACAGGATCGGGTATGTAATTTCCAGCGGCCACGACAAGAAGGTTCTCATGTCGTGCCGCCTTTTCAAAGAGGCGCAATGATGCCGACTGTAGATACTAGAGGGTGACAAGAAATGATATATTGTATCGTGAAAAAGTCACTTACTACAACACCACCTACGACCCTGGGTCCGGTGTTCCCCCAGCCTGTCACAGAGGCTTTCTCTCCTGCTCCCACCCATTCGTATCCAAGAGCAACACTTCTGACTTCTAAGCTGAACTCAATGTCGTTTTTAGTGATGAGAATCCCAGCATCATTCTTTATATTTTCCACATCCCAATGGGGATGGTTCTTGAAGGTTTTAAACTTGACCGTCATACCGCCCGAGTTCCATTGGTTCGAGCCGATTCGCCCATTGAGGGTTCTGTTGAAATTTTTATGAAAAACTCTCATTGAATTATTAAAAATTTGAATAATTGTCTTTCGCCCAGGTATCATTTTTTTTATTGCTTAAATGGGTGGAAAAGGTCACAGCCCATCTGATGTTATGTTGTTACTGGAGCCCATAGTCATCTACAACGTAAATGCTGCCACCCGCCTTGGGATTCTAAGGTCTCAGTATTTACAATGGCTGCCCCACCCTTCAAACCGAAACGCATTACTGCTTCACGGCAGACATAGGCAGGGTGGTAGTACCTACCCGTGTAGACTCAGAAAAGGTCCTACCACCGGTAAACTATGTGTCATATTTATATAATTATTATTTACTAGTCATTACGCGTGACTTCGCCCGCGTTGTCAAGGAGATAATTATGTCAGTGTAGCTTCTTGTGGGAACGAGAGGTTATTTCTCGATAAAAGTTAGCCTATGTTATTCGTCTGACCCAATATTCTCTCTTTTAAAAATAACATGTCGATCGGTTGTTTCTTTTCGACGTGAAAAAAGGACATACAAACAGACTTTCACATTTATAACATTAATATGGATATAGATATTCAAAGAAGGCTAAAAGTCCACGATAGCAAATAATTCGCAGCTATACATATATACGTCAGTTAATTATAATATTATAGTTAACTAGCTGACCCGGCAGACTTCGTAGTGCCTCAATCGATAAATAAAAGACCTAAACTTTTGTATAAAATAAACTTAAAACAAACAAACGGAATCCGTCCGATGGGGAAGATATCAAAGGAAAAACAAAATTATCTAAGCTTTTAAACCTTCTTTGGACTTCCGCAAAAAATTCGAGACCAAAATTTGCCAAATCGATTCAGCCGCTCTCGAGTTTTAGCGAGACTAACGAACAGCAATTCATTTTTATATATATATATAGATTAAATAACTCACTCGGATAGTTTTCCATCGATAATACTAGGATCAATACAATGCGCTGCAGTCAGAATGTGTCTCTTAGTGATTATAGAACCTCCACACATTAAGAATCTGAAGTAATACCCCTCAATGAGGGCGATCATGTGAGGAGAATAGGCCTCAGGAGCATCTTCTCCACCAATTATCCTTTCAGAATTGACCTCCAACACAGGAACCCCTGCACAAAACGGAAACATTGACCAAAGCAATATTTTACTATTGTTGTATGTTTGGTAGGTTGTTTTACTCACGGAATAGATAAATAAGGTTACCCTTACTTATCTATTCCTTATATACTTATACTTAAGGTTAACCTTATTTATCTATTCCGTGGTTTTACTATTGAGGTGGGCGGTGGCATTTACGTTGTAGATGTCTATGGACTCCGGTAACCACTAAATACCAGGTGGGCCTTGAGCTTGTCCACCCACTTAAGCAATGAAAAAAGGGCTTATGTTATATGAGTCGACTATTATCAAAGCCGGCAATCTGACTTTTGGACAATGATTGGTAAATCAGAAAAACGAATTATTGACTTTGTATTCCATTGGCAGTCACAAAACTCTTCGGAACGACNTAAATCAGAAAAACGAATTATTGACTTTGTATTCCATTGGCAGTCACAAAACTCTTCGGAACGACATCTTAGATAAATAACAGGTTAACTATTAACCTTTATTTAATGCAGGTTTTGAACCGTATTCTTTGAAGGAGACGATTATATTCAAATCAATCTGTATTGACATATCAATATTTTTTTTTTGTCCAAATGCACAGATTTCCCCCTTTGATAATAGACGACTCATATGTGTGTACGTACGTATTCATGAGCCTCCGATTTGAAGTTTTGGATCATCGTTATTACTTTAGAACCAAGAGATTGGAATTTCTAAATCAACGATATTCTATTTTCTATCTGTCCCTGTGATTAGCCGTGGGGTATTGCAGCTATTTTTGTTAAATAAATAAATAATAGTTTAGTTTTGGATAATATCTTGAAAAGCTTTTTTACAATAAAATCATTTTTTCTTACACTATTTTTAATTCAAATGGATCAAAATTTATTTTCTATTTTTTAGTTGAATTTTCTCTAAAAGCGTATTTTGTTAGTTTTTTTAAACTATTATTTATTTTTCATTTTTTAGTTGCTTTTCAATTTTTTCAATTTGTTTTTTCAACAATTTGTTTTTAATTTTTGAATTGTCATCGGTCCTTAATAAGTATACCAAATTTCGAGTCAATCCGACGTTTTGAAGGGGGTCAAAATCATGTTCAAAGATTCCGTTACAAACATACATACATACGTCTGAAGCTAATAAAAGCGTATTAAAAACAAGCAAATTAATTGAACGCTAAACTAAAATCTTCTTGATTCTTACCATATGCACTCCCTCCGATTATCACCAGAACTATCAAACTGATTGCAAACATGTTGCACTCTGCACAGCGTACTATGATACAAACAGTTGGACAACACGGTATTTATATGGAATATAGAAAAGATAATAATTTACGTATTTTTTATTTAAAATCAATAACAATTGATCGCACGGTTCAATGCTCTAGACGCGAAATGCAGTGCTTTGGTTGACATTGCAGTGTTTGATGTGTGTCAATATCCAATCCAAAATATGGAAACAGTTAACGCACGGTAATTCTAGTAGGTGATTCTAATTGTCACCAATCCGGGTAGAACTGCTCAGCACCAGACTTGAACGGTAATCGACTCGACGCGTTCATTGACGACCTCGCCTTCGAAATCGTCGGCCTTCCAACTCTCATTCACTTTCCCTATAATCCGTCCGAGCACCATCGATCTGGCACTGCTTAAGAACGTAACTCTACGCTTGTCTTCTATCGAAATAATGTTAGAACTCAACTCCGACCACTGATCTGTCGTCATGCGGCTCGGTCGTCCATACACCCTAGACCCGGTCACGAGAACCATGTTGGATTGGCAGAAACGAAGTACCAGCTTGGCTGAATCCTCTCCACCAATCCTAGCAAGAGCTGTGTTTCGCAGAATCTACCATCAAATCGAAATCGCCACCCATTAAGAAAATCCGGCGAGAAACTCAGTGGGCTGTGTAGTCTATCTGGCTATAAGTTAGTTCGCTCGTCGAATTCCTCCTCGTAATCGACGAAGACACCGATAATCGACCGTATCAGTGGCTTCAAATTGGATGGGGATTATGCGTGGAATGTATTACGAACACGTGCTGATTGGTGCTATTATACAATTGAGAACGCCCTAGACACGTCCTTACGGATTCATCAGATCCAATAGCTCTTGCATAAGACGCCTTCAGCTCTAACACTAGGAGTAGGCTTAGGGGCCTTGGTAATCGTACTCGTCGAACTCGGCAAAGAGTTTGTCGTGCAGCCTAACCCATGCATCAGCTCGCTGAGTTTCCCGCCGGATCTTTTCCGCGGGTCGCGATTCCGATCCGGAATGCATCTACTAAGATGCATTCGCGAAGCAGCTGTCCTCGAGGTTTAATTTTTATTTTTATTGCCTAGATCGGTGAACGAGCTCACAGCCCACCTGGTGTTAAGTGGTTACTGGAGCTCATAGACATCCACAAAGTAAATGCGCCACCCACCTTGAGATATAAGTTCTAAAGTCTCAAGTAAGTTACAACGGCTGCCCCACCCTTCAAACCGAAACGCATTACTGCTTCACCCACCGGTGGTGGTATCCACCCGCGCGGACTCACAACAGGTCCTACCACCAGTTTTAGGTCTCTTTCGGAAGCGTTTGGGCAGCTGTTAGCAAATCCCACCCCTCTTGGCTGAGCCTTTGCTCGCCCACCTGTCCTGGTGAAACTGGGAAGGCCTCCGGGCTACCAGTATGGACGGTACCTTCAAAAAAAAAGCAATTGAGAACGTTCGTACTTTTCCAGAACACATTATATCTGGGCCTAATATTCTGAGTTTACTGTTATTTTTGCATCACTGAAGATATCTGTCGAACAAGATAACGATCAGACGCAGAGTAAATAATACATATAATATTAGAAAGGGCACTTGAATTTGTTTATTGGAATCCGTCTGACTTCTGAAAAAACAAAGGCAGTCAGTGACCCGGAGTCTTTCACGAAATGTTATCAATTCCTCGAGTATACTCGTAATAGCATCAAGGTCAAGTTTGATTTTGCTTCAAATTACAATTGTATATCTAGAAATTTTTATCTTTAATATATCGCATTACAACTTACAATGATTTGTGTACGACTAGATGTGTCCCGCGGTTTTACACGTGTTAAATGTTTAACTGAAATACAATTTTTGAAAGTGCTCAGAGAAATCTAATGATAGTTCTAAGGTGGCTCCCCAAAAGTTTTTTTATTGCTTAAATGGGTGGATAAGCTCACGGCCCACCTAATGGCATCTACAACGTAAAAATCGTCATTCACCTTAAGACATGAGTTCTAAGGTCTCAGTTTTTACATAGTAAAATGGCTGTGCCACCCTTCAAGCTGAAACGCATTACTGCTTTGCCGCAGAAATAGATACCTATGATGGTATCTTCAAGTGCGGGCTTACAAGACGTCCTACCACTAGTAATCATTTTCCGCAAACGATCTTTACAAAGCTTGCAAAATCCTCTCGGTTTGTATGTGTTATTCTCAACTTTATCATGACCATTTTATAATACATATATATAATTTTTATATTAATTCTTCTAAAGTGACTTTTGAAAGATTTGATAAAAGATATGGCGATTATATCTTAATAGGTGAAAGAACTAGGGGTCGATTTCAATATTATTATGAATTTTGTAGAAACGGATGATGGAGGTTTTCCTAATGGGTGTTGACAGTGGCAATGTCACTGTCATGTTATTTTGTCCTTGGAAGTCAATGATCACGTCTTATACAGCTAGTTGTCATACTATACTAATGTTTCTATAAAATCTCTTGTTATATCTAATATTTTAGCGCTGTAGGTGTGCAAACGAACATATAATCCTCTTGCTGTTGTTGTTTTTTTATTGCTAAGTTGGATGGACGACAACACGACCCACCTGATTTTAAGTGGTCACCGGAGCTCATACACATCAACCACGTTAATGCTACCACCCACCTTGAGACATGGGTTTTAAGTCAGTTTTATAGGACAACGGCCGCCCCACTATTCATACTGAAACGCATTATTCCTTCACGGAAGAAATAGGTACGGCGGTGGTAGCTTAACGTAATGCATGGAAACAGTTCCGCAGAACTGTTGTGGAAGAGCAACCGGTTTTTTTTTTTTTTTTTAAAGATATTGCGCGTTCCCCTGACGAGTAATTGTCAGGGACATTTTTTAGGCTATTAAGAGCTACAAGAGCAACCGGTTGGCGACATATGGTGCTCCGACCTGGCAGGCTAGTTCTGGTCCAGCGGGGTTGCGGGCCACCAGCGGTAGCGCCTGGGACGGCCTCACGGACCGCCATACCGAAACGGCCAATGGCTGACGTATTATTGACCGCGGGATCCCTTGCCTGGCTTCTGTCCTCGGGCGGAGATCGGATGACGGGTGAGAGAGCACAAGAGGAGAGTATTTTAATGGTTAGGGTCCTAAAATATCCTTGAACCTGCAGTCCGCTCGCAACACCTGCAGACGATCAAGTCCCACATACCCTGCACGCAACAAAGACGTGAACACCTCGTATAAAATTCAGCACATTACCCGAAAAAAAAAAGAGTGGTCGCACCCGCACGGGCTAATGAAAAGTCCTCCGCCAGTAAATACACAAATTATAATTTTGCGAGTTTTGGAAATTAATTGTGGACATTTGTTAGTACGTTTTTGAAGTCGTCGTGGCCTAAAGGATAAGACGTCCGGTTCATTCATATGTGGCGATGCATCATCGATGTTCGAATCCTGCATGCGAATACTAATGTTTCTAATGAAATACGTACTTAATAAATAAATGTTCACGATTGACTTCCACGGTGAAGGGATAACATCGTGTAATAAAAATCAAACCCGCCAAAATTATAATTTGCCTAATTACTGGTGGCCTAATTAATGCGCCACCCACCTTGAGATATAAGTTCTAAGGTCTCAGTATAGTTACAACGGCTGCTCCAACCTTCAAACCGAAACGCATTACTGCTTCATGGTAGAAATAGGCAGGGAGGTAGTACCTACCCGCGCGGACTCACAAGAGGTCCTACCACCAGTAATTACGCAAATTATAATTTTGCGGGTTTGATTTTTATTACACGATGTTATTCCATTCATAATTAATTACATTCATAATTAAAGCTTTATGCTATTTCAAATTAATTCTTTACATTTTAATATTACATGCCGATTAAACTATGTAAATATGGCGATTTTAAAATTAATTTGAAATTCGAACACTCATCAATAGATGTCGCTAGTAGAAATCTAAAAATATTTCTAGGAAATACCTAATTTATTAACATAAAAAGCATATGTATTTAGAGTATTTTGAACATGATAAAATAAACAAGCTCATTGCTATGGTAACATTAAAAAAATGAATTCTATATTTGAAAACACGAATAAAACTACCAGTTTGTGGTAGCATTAAAAATTTGAAATTAGAACGTACAGTTTTTTTTTTTCAAACGTTCAACTGTAGAAACAAACAGTTTGACGTAACAAATATATTAGCGCAGAAAATGGCGGTAGTTTTAGAAATTGTCAACAATTTTTGGTGTCATACCTGCACACGCCACTCCAGGCTACCGACACACCCAGCACGCGCGGTAAGTTTCTTCCACCTCAATCTAACAATAAAATCTTAAAATAATTTCTTAATTTACCTACATTTATCTAACATCCGATTTCCTATGTAAACATGGTTCCCGCATCGTATTACAGGTTCGTAACGACAAAATGGACCAAACCACTGTCGGTGGTCAACACCAGAACAATTACCCCGTTCTGCTATTGCCGAAGAAGTGCACATCGCTTGAAACCAATTGTCAGGTGACCGACAATGTCTACATAGACTTGAACATAACCTCACCCGACACGGAGGGCAACGACACCTGCATATACTCCGGCTTCTGCAACGTCAAACTGGTCGACAGCTACAACGTAAACCTGGAGGCGGTCGAAGACATCGACAATGACATGCCGGTGATCGTCAACGAGAACCAGAACTACTACAACCAGTCCCAGGTCTGGATCGATCCGGTCCGAAGCCCGTACGTTTACAATCAGTACGACAAGACCCAGGAACGCTACTCGATATGCCAGGAGAACCACGGCCGGATAACCGTGGAGCAGCACAACACTTACATAACCCAAAACGTATACAACTGCAATGAAATCCAAACGTCACCGACGTATGAGTGCAAGAGGCTACGTAAATACGATACTGTCCCTAATTGCGCTCTATACGAAGAGGACGAATTTGAATGCGGCGTCTTCCTGTCTCAATTATCCGAAGAGATCGGCAATGATAAGGAGAAAGTTCGAGAAGAAAGACGGTTGATCGGGATTCCAAGTGAGAATAACGCTTTGAAGCAGCTCATGTCGACCGACGTGCAATCAGTCTCGAAGCAGCGTAAAACGATTTTGTTTCTGGGTAACGACTCGCATTCCGGTCAGACCATCCAGAACATCAGTGTCAACGACCCGTCCCTGGAGTGTATCGGTAATGGAGAAATCGATCACGAAGTTATCATTGGTGAGTTTAAACAATTTCCATATTAGAATCAGATACTCCGATCACTATTTTCGTAGAATACGTTTTTTACTGGTGGTAGGACCTCTTTTGAGTCCGCACGGCTAGATACCACCATCCTGCCTATTTCTGCCGTGAATCAGTAATTCGTTTCGGTTTGAAGGTTGGAGCAGCCGTTGTAACTATACTGAGACCTTAGAACTGATATCTCAAGGTGGGTGGTGCATTTACGTCGTAGATATCTATGGGCTCCAGTAACCACTTAACACCAGATGGGCTGTGAGCTCGTCCATCTATCTAAGCAATACGTATTTATATGTGTTCGTTTTTTATTTCGTTTTCCTGGGATCTCGTCTGCTGCAGTGAGATCATTATTAAAATAAATGTTATCCTGATAATAGCCACAAAAAAATAATGAAATTTCATTGTTTTATGCGCCCGCACAGCTAGGTACCACTATCCTGCCTGTTTCTGCTGTGATACAATTCGGTTTGAAAAATGATAACGACATTTATATTGTTGACTAGCTGACCCGGCAGACTTCGTAGTACCTCAATCGATAAATAAGAGACCTAAACTTTTGTATAAAATAAACTTAACACAAACAAAAGGAATCCGTCCGACGTGGAACACATCAAAGAGAAAACAAAATTGTTATTTTTATTTAATTCCGAGCATTTTCTTAATTATCTACCTTTTAAACCTTCTCTGGAATTCCACAAATAATTCAAGGCTAAAATTAGCCAAATCGGTCCAGCCGTTCTCGAGTTTTAGCGAGACTAACGAACAGCAATTCATTTTTATGTATATTGTTGATTGTTGATGTCCATGTGCTGCGGTGGCCACTTAACACCAAACGGGCCGTGAAACTGTCCACCCAACAAGTAATATAAAAAAACAATACAATTTAATGATTCGAATAGAAGTTTTTAACTTAAGCTTAGTTACTTTCACGTAGCTTAAGCTTGAAGCAACGCATTAGCATCTCATTAACACTGTCAAACTCATAATTAAATGTGATCAGTGAGTACTGAGAAACACATGCCACATGGTTTTTTTTTTATTGCCCTTGTAGGCAGACGAGCATACGGCCCACCTGATGGTGAGTGGTTTCCGTCGCCAATGGACTTCAACAATGCCAGGGGCAGAGCCAAGCCGCTGCCTACCGCAAAGTATTAACATTTCAGAATATTAAAAAGACAGTGCGTAGCTTCGAACCTGCGTTCCAAAGTTGTCTGAGTCATGTGTTTCTACACACTTGGAGCAGTGTAATTAGTGGTATCACTAGTAGGAAAATAGCACCAGTGAATCGCTCAGACTTCACGTAGTCCAATACACTATGGCCACATATATCTTTCGACTCATTTACAAGCAGACAAACGCGAATTATTACGACTTGTTCTATAAATATATGCTGTTAAAACAGAATTACTATAAAATAGTGTCATTACCCATCAGATAAAGGATTGAGTGATATTCTAATTCAAGTTTTAAAAAAAAATAAGGTTAAAAAAATTGATTTTTTATTAAAATTAAGAAAAACAAAATTGGACTTCCCTATTAATAAGCGCCTTTACAATTCCAGAAGATTCCTCGTCTTCGAATCCGCACCAAAAGCGATACCAGTGCGACAAATGCAAACAGATATTCGAACAGATCTCGACCTTCAAGCAGCACATGGTCAGCACGCACCGGCACCTGTACGACGTGGACTCCCGGCCGGTAGGCGACGTCAAGTACATGTGCACCGAATGCGGCAAGAGCCTCAAGAACCAGGAGAAATTCGAGCTGCACTGCATGGGTCACGGCGACCCCGATCTAGAATGCAACAAGTGCCACAAAGTTTTCGCTTCGAAATTCACCTTGAGGACGCACAGGAAGATACACAATCGCAAGCACCCCTGCGACTACTGCACCAGATCGTACGCCACCCCGGAGGAGCTGCGGACGCACATATCCAAGATCCACTTCGTGTTTATATGCGACCACTGCTCATTCACGGCCAATAGTTACTCGGACTACATAAATCACCAGAGCTCTCACAAGGAAATAAAAAAAGCCGCGAGCGAGACCGAGTTCGGCGACTCGCTCATTGAGGAGGTGTTTAGCGAGAATGACGTCATCAATCCCTCACCTGTCAATCACGATAACAAGGCTGTCAATAGCTTCACTGACAACGAGAAGCCTGCAGTCAATGATCAAGTCAGGGAAGCCGACTCTATCATTGCCAAAGTAATGTCGAATAAAATATTTTTGTTACACGCGAAGAAGGCCCGGAGACACCGGAGATACAATAAGGTACGTTGGAGTCACATGCCCTTGAAGCAGTAGTAGTAGGTTACTACCTACTACTAGGTACTAGTACAAGGTACAATCACTAGTACCATCTTATTTCTTCTTACTAGGTTAGGTTAGGTAGTAGGTTTGCGTATGAGTAATTAACTAGTAATTTATTTGTTAATCGAAGGGTGATATGAAGACTATACCCGCTAGTGTAGATCTAGGGAGGTTTTAGTTGGGGGCTCTTCATCGTGTCATTATTGGTCACGTTGTACCGATGTCATCAGGAGAACCACTCAATCCTCTGCAGTCAAATAATCTACCTACACGTGCGTCTTGTGAGTCCGCACGCGTAGGTACCACCACCCTGCCTTTTTCTGCCGTGAAGCATGTATGGCGGGGTAGCCGTTGTAACTATACTGAGACCTTAGAACTTATATTTCAAGGTGGTTGATGGCATTAATGTTATTGATATCTAAGGACTCCAGTAACCACTGAAAACGAGGTGGGCTGTAAGCCCTAACCACCACCATCTAAGCAATGGTCTTAGCCACCACCATTTAAGCGTGGGGTCTTTTTCAGGATATTACTGATACCATCCACCCCACGGTTTTTTTTACAATAAAATTATTTTTAAAGTCAAAGGGTCGAAATCATATTCAAAGATTCCGTTACATACTAACATACATACGTCTGAAGCTAATAAAAGTGTTTTAAAAAGATCGTGATGAACGCATGTGAATGTCAGAAGAAATATCTACTTTTATTTATTTATTTTTTATTGCCCTTGTAGGCAGACGAGCATACGGCCCACCTGATGGTGAGTGGTTACCGTCGCCCATGGACTTCAGCAATGCCAGGGGCAGAGCCAAGCCGGTACCTACCGCAATACTTCTCGCGATGTCGATATAACTAGGCTACGAGCACCGACTAAAGCGACTGGAGGACAGACCCACAGAAGGTAGGGCAGCCGGCGGCAGGATGTGAGCAGTGTCATGTTGTCGGCAGGTGTGCGAGGTCTGCTTGAAGTCGTTCGACCGGATCGGCGACCTCAAGCGCCACCTCATCGAGCACGTCATCCGGAGCACCCTCGCCAAGACTCCGGTCGGGAAGGACGGGACCCTCAGCATACTGTGTGAGGTGAGACACGCTTACATTGATACACGGCAATTGGGCTTTGATATAAAAATCGCATCGCGGGACTCAGCTATCAATAATAAAATTTAACGTTTCCGAAGCGAAGCGAGGACGGGTCGGTAGTAAGTTAATAAGTTCAATAAGTAATTTCTACAAACTAAGTACATCTCGGAAAACATGTTCCGCTTGTTATACACACATTATTTTTATATACACCTCATTGATAGACAAGTCGTAAAAGATTTCAAGTCATGACTAGGTACGCACCTTCATGCTTTAATTTCAAAACATAAATAATAAACTTCATATTTAAGATTTAAAATTAGAAATGCATCGGTTATCAATATGACCATGAAAACTGACATTTCATACGTCGTGTATACAAATAGTATATATAAATGTAGGCTAAGATATCTGTACGAGTAGGGCAATCTATGACATCATTTGAAAACAAACAAATGTCAGACACGTTTATTTAAAAATAATAGTAATTAAAGATTTATTTTAATTATTATTACATAAACATAGGTTTTCTGTAATCAGCTGGTCCATTGGTCGGTAACCTTGTCAACCAAAAGAGCCAAATATAGATAACACACATTTGAAATTAATTCAACGAGCTATTCTTTAACTTATATTTTATAGCCTTGTGTATCAAAAATGTTTAGTCGTCTCTCACAAGATAATAAGTAATATTTCGTGCCTGAACTAAGTATTTCACGGAAGAGCCGTAGCCGCGGAGTCAAAGAGCCGTGAATGGCCGACCACTGGGCTAGTATACTCCTAAATAAATCTCTAAAATAAAGAGAACAAAGAATAGGCAATGCCCATTGGGCTTATGAGTTAGCTTCCTTGATGCATCTGACAGCCGACTGCAGACATTAACACCTCTTGTCAGTTGCTGACGGAGGTGCCGGGGGCGTTGACCCTCGGTATCATACAGTCAGTCAAAGAAGTAGAGTCTCGGAAACTGAAAGTAGAGATGAGTAGGATTTATTAAAACAGACCGGAGTATTAGGTATTTTACGAGATTAGGCTGCACCTAATCCCCTTTTTCAACGTGTATAATCTGTTCCACCTGATCTTCGTATTCTTAAAACATAAAATCGAATGTTCAGCATACGGTCCCACCTGTTCCTGCGCTATCTCACTCACTTACACGTTGCAACGTATCTCACAATCCCTAAATGCCTAAACCTAATAATTTTAATAATAATCCAACGATAAATTTAATAAAATCCTATAACGAACTCAGAACTTGAGATTAGGAATAGGCAGATTGAGATTGCTTGCTAAGTAAAGTATTAGTTGTGAATGAGATTAGGAAGACGATGTGGATTAGGTATTTGGATTAGGTATTTCCTTAGATTAGGAACATGTAGACCTAGTATCTGATTTACCTATTACGACACATCTCTAATTGAAAGCATATTATGTCATTCGCAAGGAACAGCGGGGTAAATGTAATATGTTCAGCATCAACTCTGTCTCACCGTCTCAATGGCCCCGACTGGGCTCCGGCCCGGTCTGGGGTAGGGCGCGGCTGTGAGCGGCAGGAGTTTTTAGTGAGGTTCAACTCCCACATACCCAGCACAAATCGAGATCCGGTCATTTTCTCCTGTATAAATGTCATCCACAAACTTAACAAAATATATATTAAGGTTAACCTTACATCAATAACTTTCACATTACCAGGTCTGCCAGAATGAGACCTTCACCCGCGTGGACAGGTACAAGGCACATCTACGCGAGCACGCCAAGCTCACCCTCTACAAGTGCACTTTCTGCGACAAGTCCTTTAGCGATTCCAGCAACTTCTCGAAGCACAAAAAGATCCACGGCTCCACTTACTTCCAGTGCGATCTGTGTCAAAGGAAGTTCAACTCCAAGAAGATGATCGCCCAGCACATGGAGTACCACAACAAGAACTCGCCGGTCCGCTGCAAGTACTGCAACAGGATCTTCCACTTTGAGTCAATGCTGAATAAGCACATCAAGTGCACTCACGCCAAGGAGCTGTACACGAGGTTCAAGTGCCGGTTCTGCAATGATTACTTCAAGACTTTAAAGGAGAAATGGGATCACGAATGGACAATCCATAACGTTAGGAAGATGGTGGTGGACTGTTTGGTGTGCGGGATGAAGTTCAGGAAGTATTCGGAGCTGAAGAGGCACTGCTTCGACGAGCACGACATGGAAATACCTCCTGCTAAGAAATTGATGAAGAGGATGCTCAAGGATTAAGGCTGGACCTTAATATAGCTTTAATATTGCCTCAATTGGCAAGGTATACCGTGAAATTGATCGATAGTGATCACTGCGGCCCACGGACAGTCGCAATTTAAAAGTATTTTATTTTCGATACACTTTTTTGTATATTACTTTTTTTTATTTTACAGTAGTTTATTTTGTAAATAATTTAGATTTAAATAGTTGTTATGATATTAATAACATAAATTTAACACAGTTCTTCCAACGATAAACTAATATAAAATTCGCATAGCTGTAGGCTGTTATTTAATTACAGACTTAAAATGTACTTGAACAAGATTTAAAATGAGTAATACTTTCAGGTTTTCAGGCGAACTGCTAACGTAATGACGACCACTTAATTAAGCTTCGTTTCGTCTTGAACATTTTAATTTGATAATCTCATACAAATTCCAGTTTTCATAATCGCGAACTAAATGTATTTAAAAAATATAAATGACCTTGTCCTTTTTTTTTATTGCCTAGATGGGTGGACGAGCTCACAGCCAACCTGGTGTTAAGTGGTTACTGGAGCCCATGGACATCTACAACGTAAATGCGCCACCCACCTTGAGATATAAGTTCTAGGATCTCAGTATAGTTACAACGGCTGCCCCACCCTTCAAACCGAAACGCATTACTGCTTCACGGCAGAAATAGGCGGGGCGGTGGTACCTACCTGCGCGGACTCACAAGAAGTCCTACCACCAGTAATAAATTCATCATAATCACCAGTAAATTATTAAAAACGAACAAGAGATTAAATATTTTCGGTCATCGCAGTCTGGGTTAGCCAGCGCGCGGTTCCGCTGGATGGAGACCGCGGGACCGGTCACCGTGGCTGGCTCTGGGAGAGGCCTGTGTCCAGCAGTGGACGTCTGTGGGGCGACGACGACGACCACAGCAGTCCGTAGCTGGCATATGTCATCATCATCGTATGGATGTAAGATGTAAACTAATGACCGATTTATAACCAATCTATGCAAAATTGTATTTATCGCTTTAAAACATTCAAATCGTACAATCTATTGTCAAAGTGAATATCTAACTAATGATTTTATTTTAACAAACACAGATTCGCTGAACATTTTAATGCATCAAGCGAATCCAAACTTAAAAGTACAAGTTTTGTTTTGAATTAAAAAGAGAACATGGTCTTACTGGTGGTAGGACATCTTGTGAGTCCGCGCGAGTGGGTACCACCACCCTACCTATTTCTGCCGTGAAGCAGTAATGCGTTTCGGTTTGAAAGGTGGGGCAGCCGTTGTAACTATACTTGAGACCTTTTATAACTTATGTCTCAAGGTGGGTGGCGCATTTACGCCGTAGATGTCTATGGGCTCCAGTAACCACTTAATATCTTGTGGGCTGTGAGCTCGTTCATCCATCTAAGCAATAAAACAAAAACAAAAAAAAACATCGTGATTAATGACCTCAAAATTAACAAACCACTTTAACCTTAATATTAATTATTATTTCTTTAAATCGATCAATTAAAACGGTCCGCAGGTCATAAGTGTTCCTATAGGTCACGTTGTGAGTTCGCGCGCGCCGTCACCACTATCCCACACATTCCTGCCACTGTAAGCAGGCGCTCTGGCTCAGTGGAACAGACGGATACTTGTCCCAGTATTATACCTTGTTTATTATTCGATTACAAAAGACTCTGACGTCATATGATATCAATGGGCGAGACAGAATAGTCTATGCACAATACCCGGTTTTGACGCATCAAATTAATACGATTTTTGTTTACCGTGTTATAAAATAGTACTTTTTTTGTTATTTGTTAAGCATAACGAATGTCCCTTCAAGGCCTAGTTGCTTTGTGGGAACTGTTCAGGACGGCGGTACACATCCGAGGTGGATTTGTGACGTACCCTACCACTGTGTGCTTAGTGCGAGTGTTTTAACGTTATCGATAGCGTAAAAGTTAACTCGAATTTGTATGGAGTTGGAGCATTTGCCTACGTTTGAGGCTAGGGGCGCTGTTACAACTGCATACAATTTTAAGTTAACTTTTACGCTATCGAGAACGTTAAAAAACTAAGCACACTAAGCTTACTAAATTTATAATACGAATGGCGTTAAGAATTAGGCACGGAGTTAGTAATTCTAATAGCGGTCTTTTAACCTTTAATAAGTAAATGGTCAAAGATACGTAATAATTAAAAAAACCTACAGAATTAATAATTTGGTTATAGAGATCAGTTTGTGGCTGGATATTGCAACTACACACATTGCACTCACACGTCAATTGTCAATTAATTTAGGAAGTTAACTAAGGACAACTTCGTGATAAAAAAAATTAAAGTTCAATTTAAGCAAGTATGTAGTTTTTCCTAAAAGAAAACTATAGCTTACTAGGTCTCTATGTGAGAGCTTGTGAGAAACTTCCAATTGCGAATACATGAAGTGACTGAAAATAAAATGAGCTTACATAAAATCGATATATAATAAAAAAAAATTCATTGCCCTTGCCAGATGAGCATACAACCCTCTTGTTGATGAGTGGTCATATACGCAAAGTATGTAATGTCAAAATGTATACTGCTATATTATTTTCTTCTTCATTTAGAATATAAACAAAACTTAATAAATAAATTTGATACAGATTACTGTAATCATGTATATAGTAACGAAAGGCGTTGAAAAATATTAACAACTTAAGTTTTTATTTATTTTACTTATTTATTTACTTTCAAACGTATCAAAGTGTCAAACATTGTAATCCTAAGTAATCCTCTTTATTTCAAGTTGAGTAACAAATATTTTTCAGTAAACAACTTGAAGCAATCATGATCTCAGTATAAGACTCTTTTGTTATTGAACTTTTTGTTTATGTTCATTTTGTTTTTTTGTTTTTTGTTTTTGTTAAATAAATGTATTTTCAAAATTCGGTGTTCATTTTTTGTTGTTTAATGATATTTTTAATTGGTACGGTAATTGGCTGATGGTTAAGATTAAATTAAAATTATTATTAGTTGTACTTTTTGAAGGCAGTTGTGTCTTTCGGCCTGTATGGTGGGACAACCGGTAACCCCGGAAATCTAGGTGGGCCGTAAGATCATTCTTCCACACACACACAAAATAAAAAACTTAGTTAACGCCAAAAGGAAATTAGTAAATAAAATTTTCAGCCTATTTCTTTATTGCTCTAATCAATATGAAGTCGAATCATTTTAATTAAATTTTATTAATTTTATTTTTTTATTTTTTTACATGCAATCAGTGTTCCTCTATGAAAATTAAATAAAGTGTGTGTAACTTTCAAGTTGTCATACTTTTTTAGTGGTGGTATACAGGGAGCGGTACATATGGCGCAGAACCGGACCGAGTGGAGAAGATTGACATACAGTCACGATCCTCAGCATTGAGGGAACGACCAGAAAAAGGCCGTCTTGTGAGCCCGCACGGGTATGTACCACCACCCTGTCAATTTCTGTGCGTGAAACAGTAATGCGTTTCGATTTGAAGGGTGGGGCGGCCGTTGTACTGTAAAATCTGACAATTAGAACGTATGTCTCATAATGGGCGGGCGGCATTGACGTGGTTGATGTCTATGGGCTCCGGCGACCATTTAACATGAGATGAGCCGTTAGCTCGTCCATCCATCAAAAAAATAAAATAAAAAGAAATGAAAGGTGAACTTCAAATCCGAAATTCAATTCAAGTCACTAACAAAGTATATTATTATGATCTGTCGAACGGATTACAAAGTAAACGCTTCCGAGATAGCGAGACAAAAACTACAAATATATTTCGTATATTAAATTTATAACAACGTAAAATCAAATTTAATTTTCCACTATCAAACGCTGTTCCTAACAAAAGTTAAATGTGGCGTTGAGTTGATTTACTGAACGAGATCAACTAGGTACCAGGGTTGTAACATCACAAAAAAATACATAAACCACGAAATATTGATTTCTACAGAAACACAACCGCGTCGCAATAAATCACAATCGTTATTATGCACGTATTTACATTTTACCTAGGAACCCAATATTGAAAAGCATTATTACACTACTCCTTTTGTCTACTGCTTCAGGTCCGAAACAGGCGGGGTGGTGGTACCTACCCCTGCAGACTTACAAGAGGCTTACCACCAGTAAATTGCGTTTCGGTTTGAAGGATGGGGAGCCGTTGTAACTATAGTGAGACCTTAGAACTTATACCTCAAGGTGGATGGCGCATTTACGTTGTAGATGTCTATGGGCTCCAGTAACCACTTAACACCAGGTGGGCTGTGGTCAGGCAGTGTCATGTGGGCAGGTCCACCCATCTAAGCAATAAAAAAATCGTTTTATCTTATGTGTGTGAAGATCTTTGCTATGATACCTACAGCAATGGATTGGATTTTTTTTTTAGATCGCACTTAACATATAATTACCATTGTATATTTAAAATTGTAACTTTTTATGTTTAAGATAATAAATAAAAAAGAAATATACGTATGATAAGAAGAAAAATATATAAACTGATATATAAATAATAAAAAGAAAAATAAAATATCTTACGTGAAGTGTGTTCATGAGTACAAGCCGTTGACAGCCTGTCAAACGTGTTAGCAGTTTTGATAAACATGAGCATTTAAATCGCTGTGATTTCATTCAGTCTCTTTATCACAAAAACTGTACATCAAATATAACTCTAGGCAGGAAGAAGAGTGAATTCGTGATGATGAACGCTAGATCAACTTAGTATTTTAACTATTAAATTTACTTCTTTTTTTTCATTATAGGCGAATAGATGAGCTAACAATATAGCGTGCTTAGCGATTACCGGAGACCGATAGCAAAGTGAAATAATAAACAATAGTTTGAAAAAACTAACAAAATACGCTTTTATAGAAAATCCAACTTTTTTTACAATAAAATCGTTTTTTCTTACACTATTTTTAATTGAAATTTATTAAAATTTATTTTCTATTTTTAGTTGGATTTGCTACAAAAGCGTATTTTGTACTTTTTTTTTTAATATTATTTATTTTTAATTTTTTCAATATATCTTTTTTTCAATATTTTTTTAAATATTGAATTTTCATCGGTCCTTAATAAGTATACAAAATTTCGAGTTAATTTGACGTTTTGAAGGGGGTCAAAATCATGTTCAAAGATTCCGTTACATACTAATAAAACTAAAACTAATAAAAGCGTATTAAAAACACAAGAATATTCTGATAAAACGGCGTCACAGATCTGGCAACCTTAGCACTCCGCGCATGACCTTGCCAAATGCGCATGCGCGCTTGCCACTAGCCGTCCACATTGGATTTCCACATTTCACACAGCAGCTCAGAGCACAGTGTGCTAACGACCGCCGCGGTGGCTTATTCCGCCACTAGCGCGAGCGAAACGCGTTCTAAAACAAATACTAGATCAAATTCTAATTCAATCGTTTATCCTCTGCGCTTAGTGAATTCACATCCGGTAAGTAAAGATGTAGTGAAGTTTACAGTGTATCGTACACATTGTTTTTATTTTATTACAGTCAATCAATCGTTTTACGAGTGTCGAATACGTTTGTAGCCGGTCAAATGGCTCCTTTCGTACGCGTATTATCTTCATTCAAACATCTGTGTTATATCTGTAATGAATTGTTAGTAAACTGACCCGGTTTAAGATTGAAATAACACGCTATTTTTATGACCCTTGACCCTAAAATTAAATCAGGATAATATTTTCGGGATGACGGTCTGTGTTAGTTCTTATGCGGCTTGTTCAAGTCATATGCAAATATTAAATATGTTATTAGAAACTTGCTAATATGCAGCGAAGGAGAAGCACTGGACGAATCGTGTCCAGCCAAACCGTGACTCTATTTGATGAGATTTCCTATTGCCGTTGTAGACAGACCAGCTTGCGTTCCTCCTGATGGTAAGTGGTTAATGTCGCCGAAGAACATCAACTATGAAAGGGGCACAGCCAAATATGACAGTTCATTCCAGAGCTGGAAGTTATTTGGCAAAAATTATGACTTAACTCACAATGTCGATGAATGCCGAGTGATAAGGATGAACTCTGTATGTAAATGTAAAAAGTATGTCAAAAGGAGATTATGGTATCATCTTGAACAATTCATAAGATTTTCGGTATTGTCGACAATCCAAACAATTCTCTTCTGTATGAAGTCAAATGAAAGTATCTAGTACTTGAGAGATGCGTCCCTGAGATGAGAGCAATGGCATACGCCTGCATGTAACCTTACCCCTTCTCTTTGTAAAGCAAAAGTATTTGTCCACGTGTGAAGTACCGCTTCGATTTTCTAAGGACTCCCAATATTTTAAGAAGCTATACTTCACCTTCCACGTGAAAATGATAATGAACAGGTCTCTTGAGAGTACCAATGCCCTCGTAAAATAGCAGAGATTGCCTTTTTTTCCTACCTAAGCTATAGCCTTGAGAGGCTATTTCAGCGTAACCTTAACTAGTAGGTGAGCTCACGGGGCTCAAACCGGAGTGATGCTAACACTGACCCTAGCAAGAGCAGTGCTTCGCAGAATCTACCACCGGATCGGAAACGCGACCACTGAGAAGATCCGGCGAGAAACTCAGTGGGCTGCGTCTATGGGTTAAATATTGCCCTTGGAATTGCGGCACCATCAAAGAAGCATTTCAATCAAACGATGAAACTAAAAAAAGCTAAACCGTTTTAATGAGTTGAGTACAAATCTCATTGAAAATAGTAACTGAATAGCCATAATTTATATATCCTAATATTATAAAGGTAAAGGTCTGTTTGTTTGTTTGTAGTTCTTTCGCGTCGAAACAAAATAACGAATTGACATGTTTTTTCTTTAAGTAACAGCATTAGGTCAGTAGAATGATATAAGCAACCTGTAATCCCGAAGAAGCATCTCATTCAAACAGGAAACTACATTGAAGCTAGCGATCCATTAACGGTGCTTTTAGGCACCACAAGCATCGGTCACCGCCCTCGTCGAACCCGTCGCTTGCGACGAAGGGCTCAACGAGCGAATTAACCCATAGACACAGCCCACTGAGTTTCTCGCCGGATCTTCTCAATGGGTCGCGTTTCCGATCCGGTGGTAGATTCTGCGAAGCACTGCTCTTGCTAGGGTCAGTGTTAGCAACACTCCGGTTTGAGCCCCGTGAGCTCACTTACACACGTTAGGGTGAAGCTGAAATAGCCTCTCAACAGTAACAGTTAGTATAGTATACACCCTAAAATTCACAATGACAAACCAGAAGCACGTGTCTAAATCATCGCTTAATTGACATTTAATTTAATAGATATTAAAAACGAATTAATAACATGAAACTAATAAGTATCATACGTCGTTGTGTATTAATACCTAGTAATTAGTATTGCCTAGTTTAAAAGAGAGAAAGAGAGAGAAAAGGGTTAAAGCTAAAAATAATTGTTCGGTAGCCCTGTTATAAATTTAATATTTAGCTTCTAATTACTTTGGAAATAAAGCCCAGAAAGGGATTGTGAGCTGACGAGGGCTCTCTTGAGGGTTAGTGGTAAGCCTTGATTAGAAACGAGAATCAAGAGGCATTAGCGAAACTGCTCATTTATAGATTAGAATTCTATATTAGATATTATGGGCGAGTGAGTATCTTATCGATTCGAGTCAAGGGACCTTTCACGAATAAGGTACCGTTTTATTGGACCCTTCGGCAGCTAGTATTCTTCTGTATAGTAAACACTTATTTCAAAGCGAAGATCATCCACTCAGGCTCTTTGTGGTGATCTCAATCTCGTTATTCAGAATTTGTATGAATGTTGTTGTGTAAATACGCAAAATTCCTTTACAAATTTTCGTTAGCACCACTCTGGTTTTTTATCAGATTTCTTTTATATGACGATAGACGTTAAACTTTTGATTCCTCGTCATTATGATGATGTCTTGTAGTGAGGTCGTGGCAATCACCAGCTAGTCTTATTATATTTGTTAATTGCTTACGAGGGTCGATGAAGATCGGGCCCAGAGGCATTTTTTTTGGTACAATTTTTCCTTATTAGGAAAGGCAAGGGGATCTAAGCCCACACAGCCTTGTCTGTTCTATATAATTTCTGAAATAAATTTTCAAAAAATCCAAAGCCAGGTCTTATACGATTTATATTATATCCTGAAATAAAAATTTCATTAAGGCCGAAGCCAAGTCCTATATTAATTTCTTTCTGAAAGACACAGGTGTGAGCTTGCGAATATACTAATAGACAACGCCCAACCAATAAACCAATTTCCAAATATCTGAATGGTTCAGTACCTAAATATTCGTATGGCTAGTCTTGGTATAATCCTAACCTACACGTTAGGGTAGATGGTACATTGAAAAAAAAGCAGGATTTTTATTACCCTTCCTTGTTAAGCTCGGTATAAATAAATGTTAAAATTCGAACTGTTTTATTTAGTGCCCAATTATATTAATGATGCACAACAATTGAAGTCAAAGTTCAGAACCGTTCGTGTGCTGAATAAACAATGCAACACATTTTATGCCTCGTGAGGATAATGTTGTTATTATGTTGTTAGAAACGCAAACAAAGTAAGTACGGTCGCCAACACAAATGTTACTGTTTTATTAATATTGATTATAGTATTTAACACATTATTGATTGAGAGTTTATTGTTTTAAACGGGGGAAATGAGGTCTAAGCAGATTTAGTGCTAAATCGCAACCTTCAGACACCATTAAACATGAGATCGAAAACTCGAGTGTATTTGGTAACACGTTAATATATTCTAATAAGCATCCGACGGTGAACATTCCTAAAGATTACATGTTACTATTATTGCCATTCCTAAAGATTACATGTTACATCACATGTTACTATTATTTTTTGCCTACCTATCCAAGTAGCCTCGAGAGGTTATGCCAGCTTCAACTCACCTATAGGCAAGCTCACGAGGCTGGGGAATAGTTCTACCAAGTGCAGTGCTTCGCAGAATCTGCCAGTCGATCGGAATAGCGACCCACTGAGAAGATCCGGCGAGAAACTCAGTGGGCTGTGTCTGAGGGTTAATTTACTCGTCGAGCCCATCGTCGCAAGCGACGGGTTCGACGAGGACGGCGACCGGTGCTTGAAGTACCTAAAAGCACCGTTAAAGGATCGAGAGGATCCGAAATGACGTGTTTTGGGCGACGTCGACTGCTTTCCATTCTTTCCGCAGGATCGGGAATGTAGCTACCGGCGGCCACGATGAGAGGGTTCTCGTGTCGTGCCGCTTTATCGAAGTGGAAACTCAGTGGGCTGTGTCTGACGGTTATATATTACTGGCGGGGCGTGCCTACAAGCATCCAACATATTTCTAGCAACAAGCCAGCACGAAGACAGCAGTTTCTTGTATCATCAAAAGCTTAGATGTGAGGAAACTTACGCTACAAATGTAATAGACTGCTAATTCTTGACGCACGCAATCTCTTGATTAGAAAACACGTATGTATAACATTATAACGAATAGGGTACCGTAGTAAACAGTCATCAAAATGTGATTTCTTCTACTTATGTGGAGAAACTATATAGGAAATCGTCATAAGCGAGCATTAATAAGCCATTGTTATAGCCATGACAGAGAATAGGGCGTTTCTGCACCCTACGGGTTAATATTAGTGTTACGTCTTTCTTTCTGCGTCTTCTCCAAAGGTGGTAGGATATCTTGTGAGTCCGTACGTGTAGGTACCACCGCCCTGCCCATTGGTGCCGTGAAGTAGTAATGCGTTTCGGTTTGAAGGGTGAGGCAGCCGTTGTAACTATACTGAGACCTTAGAACTCATTTCTCGAGGCGGGTGGCGGTATTTGCGTTGTAGATGTCTATGGGTTCCGGTTACCACTTAACACCAGGTGGGCTGTGAGCTCGTCAAACCGTCACAGCTACAAATATATATAAAATAAAGAGAGGCCTTCAGTATCTTCAGATTAGAGGCTTCATTCACGTCGCGTTATGGTGTCTGCGGGTTCCAAGAAATTCACAGCGTGGTAAATGAAATTATTAATAGTTATTTCAATCACTGTTTTTATCATCTGTACATAACGTAAAAACAAGATTAACCTTATCATCAGTCGTTTGATCCATCCGTTTGATTTGCGCATGTGAGTTCTTCATAATCTCTACGGATATTTACACTACACGAAGTCTGTACGAGACGATCGTAATACGACACGATACGATTTGTGTTTCGCTTCGCTTTACGGTACGCAAACAAAATAAATGACTAATTTTTTGAGGTTAATGTGTGTGTGTGTGTTTTTTTTATTGCTTAGATGGGTGGACGAGCTCACAGCCCACCTGGTGTTAAGTGGTTACTGGAGCCCATAGACATCCACAACGTAAATGCGCCTTCCACCTCGAGATGCAAGTTCTAAGGTCTCGAGTATAGTTACAGTGTACACATAAAAAGGCAACTTTGACTCATCGATGAGTTTTTTTCTGATAAAAAAGTAAAACTTGCAAAGATAT